CAGCGCCCGGGACCAGGCACCTGAGGGGAGAGAAGCGCGATGGGAGCAGCATAAGGCTTCGGCCACCCACCCCGTCGCTTCCCGCCGCTACTCACCTAACCGCGCCCACACGCCAGGCTTTGCCGCCGCAGCATCAACCGCCTCTTCCCGGCTTCGGGACCAAAATCTCTTCAGAGCGGCCGCAGCCATCCTCTTCCGGCTTGGTGTCCTCTCTCCGAAGAGAAACGCCAGGTGTGCGAAATAAAAGGCCCGGGGAGTCCCTTCTGGGCAAACGCCAGCATTGCCGGAAGTGGTTTCCCATCGGAACGGGATAGAAGACGGACCCACGCCGGATGTTGCTGTCTGGTCCGAGGGGGTTGTATGTAACGGGTAGGCGGGTCGCGCAGGCGCAGAGAGGCCGCGCCACGCCGGTTGAAGTAGCCTCAGGTGAAGGGGGCGGGGGTACACCTGTGGGGCAAGAACGGCGAGTTCACGCCGTGCTGGGTGTGGATCCGCCTCGGGGCTGAGAGCTAGCCTCCAGGAGGGCCGCCTAGTGGGGTTGCGGGTGGGCCTGATTGGCCTCTGTCCTCGGAGCAGGATGCAGTGACGCCCCTGAGCGACCATGGCAGCGGCGGATGAGCTGGCCTTCCACGGTGAGTGCAGCCGCGACCTGGCCCGACTCCTCTTACCTACACTGGCCAGAACCTCCCATCCAGGTTCCAACTCAGATCTAACCCGAACCTCGGTCAGCTGTGAGCCCTGCCCCAGGCATGAAACGCACCCCTAACTCGAGTCCCGCACCAGCCCTTAACTCAGACCTCTAACCCGAGCCTGTACCTCGTCCCAGAACCAGCCCTCAATTGCGGTCCCGTATTAGGAATGAGGGAACACACCTCCTTACCACTCTCCAAAACTGAGGAAGCTGTGCCCTGTGACCACTGAAGTGGTCACGGTTAGTCTTGGCTCCCAGCTGAGCGGTGGGCAAAACCAAATTGTCTTGACACTTCCCCCCCAAGTACACCTGTGCCTCGTACTCCTTCTCAGCAGAGTTTGAGGAAGCCACTAATCTGCTGGCCCAGACCCCAGATGCGGCCATCACCAGAAGTGATCAGCTGACCCCCCAGGGTCACGTGGCTGTGGTCATGGACTCAGGTGGCAGCTATGGAGCTGACGACGAGGTGGAGAGTGACAAGGCCGCGGTGAGTCCCATGAGTCTCGTGCCCCGCCTCTTGTCTAGCCCCCACCGCCCCCTACCCCCCACTGAAAGCACCCTCTGTGCAGCTCCTACAGGAGGAGAAGCAGCAGCCTGGTTTCTGGACCTTTGGCTACTACCAGAGCTTCTTTGACGTGGATACCTCACAGGTGATGCTGGGAAAGGTGTTGGGATGGGGTTTGGAGTCACACTTGGGGTTCAGCCACTTGTCACTGAGCACTTCCTGCGCACCAGGCCCTGAGCAAGTGCTGGCAGTACACTGGCAGGAGGACAAGAACTCCCTGGGCTGGTAGAGGTCACCGTGGCATACTGCAAGGATTATGACATGACTGAGACTCTTGGGAACACAGGGGACCCACAAGACATGGTGGATTAGGGAAAGGCCTCCTGGAGGAGATGAGGAATTTGCTGAGACTTCACAGAGAAGGTAGACTGGGGCAGGCAGAGTGGAGCCTAAGTGTGTTCCAGGCCCAGGGAAGAGCACACACAGAGGACCAAAGGTGAGAGAAGAGGCACAAACTTCTGCAGAGGCTGTCACTCAGTCTGGAGAGTGAGGTGGGGCACAGACAGAGAGAAGCCAGATCACCAAGGGCTTCATGGGCTATGTTGAGGAGTCTGGGTTTTATCCTAAGGGTGCTGGGGAGTCATGGAAGGGTTTAGAGCAGGAGAGGATTGAGGAGCATTGAACGTGGATCAGAGGCCCCAGGCTAGGGTGAAAGATGAGGGGAGGGTAAACTAGGGCTGCAGAGTAGAGGTCGTGCTGGGAGACGTGGGAAGAATGAATGCCCAGGAACTGTTGACTGTCCTTATTGGGGTGGGGGAAGAGACGAAAAAGGGGACTCTAGGGCAACCAAGCTGAGAGGAGGGGGAAGCAAAGAAGGTGGCAGGCTCAGAAGTGTCCTTCAGAGTGGTGGGACACCGGGATACTGAGTGGGGGCTGGCCAGGGGAAGGGGCTCCAGGCCATGGGAATAGCCCATCAAAAACCCAGAGGGGAGAGAGGGAGGAGTCCTTCCTAGCAGAGGGGGAAGAGAGGAGGTGGAGGCCAGCAGGGAAGGAGCATCTAAGAAGCTAGACCCCTTTCCCTTGTGGGTGGTCAGGAGCCCCAAGCAGGCTTCCATCCTCGGCCCCGGCCTTCCCCCTCCAGGTCCTGGACCGGATCAAAGGCTCGCTGCTGCCCCGGCCCGGCCACAACTTTGTACGACACCATCTGCGGAATCGGCCAGACCTGTATGGTAAGTGAGGGTGTGCGTTCAGTTCATTCGATTCTTCATTCAACAAGTGTGGACTGAGTGCCAGGGTCTGGTATACAACTGAGAACAAAGCAGCGTCACTCCTGGAGAATGTGAAACTCAACACTCCATTCAGGGAGAAAGAGCCAAAAAAGGCTGTGGAGGGCGATGGGGCTGGGATGAATGGCAGAGGGTTTGGACGGTGAGTTGCCATGGGTTGGTCATGGGGGGCCCTGCTGAGGAGGGGAGGGAATGAGCTGGTTGGTGTGGGGTCGGGGCGGGGAGCCCTAGGGGAAGAACACTATGGAAGCGCTCAAAACCCTGTGGCAGAAACACACCTGAACTGCAGAGCAGCACTGTCACTGGACAGCACTGAGCTGCCTGGAGGCCAGAGGTGACAGGACAGACCACACAGGCCTCTAATACTTTCATGAGAAGGGACGCTAGTTGAGAGCCCTGAGGTGCTCGGGCCTGTAGCGGGTGAGGGCAGAAGCTGGGAGACTAGGGAGGAGGAAGCTGCCATGGCCCAGGCACAGGATGATGGGGCCTGGCCTTGGAGGGGAGAGAGGTGTGGTTGAAGTCTGGCATGTGTCATAGATGGAGCCCACAGGATTTGCTGACACACTAGATGTGGGCTGGGGGCACAAGAGACAAGGATGCTCCCGAGTGTTCTGTCTGCACTGCAAGGAGGGAGCCACTAGTTATTAAAGGGACAACCCGGGCTGATTCTAGGGGAGAGAGGGGGTGGGGTGGGGTGGAGACGCCCACATGGAAATGTTGAAGTTAAACCCCAGGCTCATGGCAGAGGCCCGGACCTGAGACATTGGGGGTCATCAGCACAGAGGTGGCAGAAGACTCAGAAGTGGGACAAAATCACACAAAGGGTGACCACAGGGAGAGGGCTAAGGATGGGGCCCTGGCTGGCTGCCCACCGTTTAAGAATCTGGGAGTTAAAAAGGTTGAGCTGCTGCTGTTGAGACAAAAGCAAGAGCAGAAAATTCGGGAACCACATGGAGAGCGTTTCCAGAAGGAGGGGGTTTCAGCTACAACAAAGGCTGTTGAGAGGCCAAGAAAGATGAGGTCTGAGCACCAGCTCTGGATTCAGCCACCAGGTGGTCACTGGTGTGATGCCAGCTTGATGAGTTGGGTCAATGGAGCGCTGGGGGTGGAGGCGGCCTGGGGCTTGGGAAGCAGCTGGGACAAGATGGGACAAGACACCTGTCCTAGGAGCTCCCGCCCTGGGACCCTGACCACACACCGCCCGCAGGTCCCTTCTGGATCTGTGCCACACTGGCCTTTGTCTTGGCCATCACCGGCAACCTGACCCTGGTGCTGGCCCAGAGGAGGGACCCGTCCATCCACTACAGCCCCCAGTTCCACAAAGGTAGGCAAGTGGGCAAGGCCTGGTGCCTGGCAGGGCTGGGGGTGCTGTGGGGCCCTGGGGGTGATGCCCTGCTTTGCCCGACAGTGACCGTGGCCGGCATCACCATCTACTGCTACGCGTGGCTGGTGCCACTGGCGCTGTGGGGCTTCCTGCGGTGGCGCAGGGGCGTCCGGGAGCGTGTGGGGCCTTATACCTTCCTGGAGACTGTGTGCGTCTACGGCTACTCCCTCTTTGTCTTCATTCCCACCGTGGTGAGTGGGGCCTGGGGACGGGTGGGCCCCAGGGACCGCGGAGATGGCCTGGTAGCCAGCTGCCTGTGTCGCCCCCAGGTCCTGTGGCTGATTCCTGTCCCATGGCTGCAGTGGCTCTTTGGGGCCCTGGCCCTGGCCCTGTCAGCTGCTGGCCTGGTGTTCACCCTGTGGCCTGTGGTCCGTGAGGACACTAGGCTGGCGGCCACGGTGCTGCTCTCCACCGTGGTGCTGCTCCACACCCTCCTGGCCATGGGCTGTAAGGTAGGGGTCCGGGGGGTCCTGGGCTGGGCCTTGGGGTCAGGGGCTGGCTCTCTGGCTCAGACACTGACCTCAGGGGTCTCTGTTCAGTTTTACTTCTTCCAGCCGCTGCCTCTGGAGCACGTGGCGCCTCCCCACCAGGCCATGTCTCAGCCCCCAAACACCCTGCCACCCACGCTGCCAAGGTCCATGGCAACCTAGGATGGCTGGAGCCACAGGTGAGGAAGTGTTTCCAGCTGTGGCTGAGGGGGTCTCCGTCCCCCTCCAAGATTAGAAGTCATGGGGCCACTCCTAGGAGTTTCTCTCTTTCAGGCCCAACGTGAGGGGACGCCTCCGCCTGTCCTGCCCCCGAGATGGTGATTGAAGTCTCCCCTGAAACCTCAACATCATTCTGCTACTTTCCAGACTTTTCTTACAAAGCAAACACTTTTATTTTCTATGCAAAGGTGATTCAGAGAATTTATATAAAGGCGGGAGAGGGGCAGCACAGGGAGCTTCCGGGGCGGCCATCACCCCATGGGCCGTCTGCCAGGGCGGGTGGCAAAGGGGCCACCCCAGCCTCGGCTGGGCTTGCTCTTTCCGGAGTTAGTGGGCCCTGGGCCTAGCCTGAGCTCCGCCACGTCCGAGTCTGGGGTGTTAGAAATGGGGAGTGGAAGAAAATTGCCTGTGCTGAAACATACATTTCCTTCTTTATTTTGTTTTTTTCCTTTTCCTTTTTTTTTTTGGAGAGGTCCCTGCAAGGCCCCTTCCCAGGCTGGGGAGGGACCAAAATGCCATCATGGTATTAGGGACTGGAGCATCTACAAATACTGAAGGGGATACACAGGCCTAACATTAGCTACGAGGAGAAAGGACGCCTTCCATGACAGACCCTTGAGGTTTCTGCGTCTGCCCCAAGTGGCTGACGGTGACCCTTCCCTCCAGGCCCAGGGCCCATGGGGCCACCTGTTCTAGCTCTTGGTGCGGGTTGGGGAGGGAGCCCTGCAGGGGCTCAGGGACAGGACAGCAGCAAGACGCAGGGGCCGAGGACGGAGGGCCTTCCCGACAGCCGGGTGGGTTGTACATTCAAGTGTGAGGTGAACCCTTTGGTGGGAGGGGGCCGAGGGGCTTCAGAGGCCCGGCCCCACCCCATCCTGAAGACTCGGCAGGGCCGCCCCTCACCACTGAGCCTCTGAGTGGGGGAGAGGGGCTGCTGGCTCGGCCCGGCCGGCCTGATTTCTCAGAGGGTCTGTGGATTGACACTGGTTCTTTTTGTAAAAAAATAAATTAAAAAAAGCAGCATGTCACGCCCATTGTGACCAAGGCCTGGTAGTTGAAGGGGAGGCCCCGCCCAGCCCAGACGGCCTGCCCACTGGAGACAGGCAATGGGGGCGGCCCAGGGGATGGGCGGGGCGGCAGCTGCCCACCTCCCTCGGGCCATGCCTGCAGCTGTCAGGCTCAGACACGCCTGTTACAGAAGATGTCAAACCCAGGTCAGGGTGGAGAGGGCAGGAGGGGGCAACAGGGCTCCCACGACATGATCGTGTGTAAAATATGGCAGCGACACGCGCTCAGGGCCAAGACTGGGGGGAGGGCAGTGGGGTGGGGGCGGCGGCGGCAACGTTGTGTAAAAAAGTGTTCAAGTTC